TAATATAATATAATTAATATAATATAATATAATATAATATAATATAATATAATATAATATAATATAATATAATATAATATAATATAATATGCCGCAACACAAATCCCTAAATCCTGAATGAGAATTAGAGCCTCATATTTCAATCCATCTAGAACCCCAAGCCTCGACCCACTTTTGGCCGCTGTGTTAGGTCGGCGGCCGCCGCACGGGCAGCAACATGCACAAGGAGGGAGATAGGGTATTGCTTGTTGAGTTGTTTATTGCGGTTCAGGCTTCATCATGGATTCGTGTTCCAGGTGTCTGCTGTTGTGTATAATAATGAGCATGTTGCTACTCTGTGGCGCTGTATTAAAGCACATTGCCATGGCTACATTGAACATCATTCCTCGTGTTGAAGCTTCAGGTCTATGCGGTGGTTTTAGATTTTCTCCGGAGTTGCGGCGTGCGCCATCTCCTCTCTGTCGGCCTCACAAGAAGCAGCCCGGTATCGGCGCCAGCCTTCTCTGCATGACCTTCCCAGACCCTATGCCCCTCGCAAAGCCTAATCCGCAAACCCCGAGCTTTCGACCACCTATGCGACGAGACGCCGTGCAAGCCATCAGCATCGGAGTCGCACATCGACGTTGTTCAACGTCGGTGCTCAAGAACTTGCTTTCGATGTTCAGTGATTCTCATCCACCTGTTTGGGCACGCCTTTTCACCAAGCAATCTACAGACTGACAGAGAACCCAAGCCCAGCTGCTCTCACTGTATCAGTTTTAGGTTTCAGGGTTTCGCTGTGGGGGTTTAAGGTTGCGGATGGGTTAGAGTTTATTTAGAGTTTGGCGCTTAGGGATTGGGGTCGGCGGGCTTGCGTTAGTTGCATTTGCTGGGCACAGTCACTGTGCCGGTAGCGCGTACAGCATTGCAGCCATCAGAATCATAAGTTGCTTGCGGCATCTTGCCGTTTTCGGTCTTTTCTCAGCATGCAGCGACGGCACACTCAAGGCAACTGTGTTCACGTTTTATTTTAATCCTGCTGAACCTCAAGCAGCATGCAGCTACCTTTGTAGCTATCTAAAGTCTGCTAGCTTTTGAAACAGGTTCAGCAAAGCCTACGCCCGAATTCTTGGCCTGAGTCCTTGTCGGATACACTTTCACATTTTTGTTATACTAAAGCCCAATAATAGTGGATTAACAATGATCATTTGACTATAGCCCCAACAGGGAGCCAGTTGAAGGATAGTTCAAGTTGGATCAGGGTTCGGGATACTTTGATACTTTATTTGGGTTTAGGGTTCAGGATACGTAAAGTAGCTTTCGGGATACTTTAATGATACTTTATTAGGGTTTAGGTTCAGGATACGTAAAGTAGCTTTCGGGATACTTTAATGATACTTTATTAGGGTTTAGGGTTCAGGATATGTAAAGTAGCTTACTAAAGGAACTTTGAAAGCCGAAGATCACGTGAACTCGAGACCTTCAGCCTGAGCCTGGAATCCGGAAAGATACCTGAACCTCAGTGCAAAAAGAGGGTGTAGGGTTTTAGGGTTTAGTTAGGGCTGTAGGGTTTAAGGGCTTTAGGGTTTAGGGGTTTAAATTTAGGGCTTCAGGGTTTAAGGGTTTGGGGTTTAGCCATCACTATTCCTTTCCTTAGTACAAGTACTCCATAATGTACCTCTATAAAGCTCTAAGCTAACTATTAAGTAAGGCTTCCATTCATTACCCTCCCCGACGAGGATCCGAAGTGGTCGTCCGCTTGGAATACCTTGCTGTGTGGGAAGAAGCCAAGAGCTCAGCGCACAGTTCCTGAGACCCCGACCCTAAACCCTAACCCCGAAAAGTAGTGCCCAGTTTCATGGTTCTTGGGTGCTTGTTGTGCAGTTTATTGAGTGTCACGGCTTCTCGTGTCACCTTGATTAGAAACGCCATGGATAGCCCAGCAATGTCTGTTTAATGGGGCTGAAGACTTGAAGAGCTGCTCTCTGGCGGACTGAAAGATGCGAGCAAGGGCTCTGTAGCAAGATTGTAAGATTTAGAGCAGCTGATCTCGGTTTGATTCGATATCCCTAAACCCTAAACCCTAAACTCGTATACTGCATCATGCGACCGCTATGGAAGGAGATCTCAGGTCAAAGTCACGGGGTTCCGTCTTGAGTCGAACATTGAGTTGGTTGGGGTCTGCCTTGTCTCTGTTTGTTAGGGCTTTGGCTTTCAATGCCCGGCCTAAGCCGTGTAGCTTAGTTTCTGAGGTCTGGGCGTTCTGAAATACTAGCCCTTACACCCTACAGGGAAAGGCCCTAAACAGAACGCCCCCATGGGGGGTGTACGAATGCTTCTGCTGCCATGGTTGATTATCACGAGATCCTCACAGCTCGTTAAACGTACTTCGGCTTTGGAGGCCTGTACCCCATCTCAATTTCTACAAGCCTAGGGTAGCCGCCACAGAACGCAGGAGGTGGGTCATGTTCCCCCGTGACACAGCTGCATCGGCGATCGGTGCCTCAGCACGAACAGAGCTTTTGAAAAATGTGGCCAGTTTTGGATTTCAGGTTTGTGGGACTCTTATTGGTGGTTTTTGCATTTCGCGAGTACAGCAACTCCAAATTTTGCAAGCTCTGGAGGCAGCAGCACGATTGCATTGATTGGCGGTGGCTGATGGGCATAGTCCTCAAGCTGTTGAGATAGATCCCTTAGACCCGCTGTGAGGTGCAATGGAAGGCGATGCCTACAAGGACCCAAGCGCTTGTGAAACAAACTTGTCCTGTGGGCTTGGGGTTGGGGTTGCTGACTTCAGTCCCATGCTTCATCAGTGCGAGCCGCTACGTACAGAAGCCTCCGAACGCCAACGTAGGCTCGAAACAGGAGCCGAAATCATCATGGGGCCGTCCAGAGTAATCTACATTGGCAACATCGTACATGCAGGGTACATGTTCAAACATGTCACCGAAATAGTGAGAAGGGAAATTTCCTAGGTTCTTGGTAGTAGTACTAGTACGAGTACAGTAGTAGTAGTAGTAGTAG